ATTTATTGGCCTTCAGGTGAGAGAAATGTTTGAGGCTGGTTTTCAGAAGTGGTGAAGTGGTACTCAGCATCATAATAATATTGAAGCTGTATAAAGAGCGCCTACGACCCTTTGAAAATAAAAAATCAGAGTTGTATTATGCAGAATCATTATGCCCACAGACTATAAAAAGAAGAGAATCAGAATGTCTCCATTTTCTTTCATTGTGCCCTGTGAGTCTCTGACTTATGAGAATAGCAGATTGTTTGTATCTGTTAAGTATAACATGTGGAAAAGATTATTATTATTATTCATTCAAAATATTTCTCCGTTTCTGATTGGCTCAACTACACTGGCTAATTCTTCAAAACAAGCTAGTGTTGAACAAATTTGGAAGAGGATTGTGATATCTGAAATGAGTTCAAACATGCAAGGTAGCTGGAGAATAAGGCAGTCAGCAACCAAGAAGCCCTGGGGACTTCACTTTACTGTGGGCAACCCTTCATGTAAAGACTGCTGTTGAATTTTCAATGAACGTTTAGGCTATGTTTACACTTTACCGGATACCTTTTCATTCCGACACAAAGGACTGCCTGGTATAATATTATATAGATTTAGCCAGGGCTAAAAGCAAAGCTCTGGTTGATATACTTATAAACAAAAAAATAAATTGTGTAATTCTAAAAGGGGACGGCAATGAGAATGGCATCAAAATCAATAGATCTAATAGCAAAAAAAGTAAATTTGCTTGTGTAGCTCTGATTAGCAAAAACAACAAATTTGCACGTGCAGCACATTTTTCTGTACATTTCTTTGCCATTGTTGTCGACTAAAACGTGAAACTTCCTACTTACAAGTCATTTGTGTCAAGGAGGAATTGTCGTTTGTACTCACCAAAAATTTTGTTGCTTGTGTTCCGTTCGCTTTTAATTTTTTCACTGCCGCTCATTTTCACCTTGCTGGCCGCTAGCATTTCTCATTTTCGCACCGCTGCTATGACATTTTCATTTTTTTCTTGCAATGAAATTCGTCTCCTTTGTCTGCAATCACTCGCTCTAACTATTTCTCTGTTACCCACGTGAGTGTACACATCAAAAATAATGTCGAAAAAGACACGACTTTGTTGTTGTTTTTTCTCTCTAAAAGTCCTGCGGCCATGCGTTTTCCTGCCAAATAAAACCTTGAGTTGCATTTGGGTTGCCATACCTGTTGTTTGAGTTTTTTTTACATTGGTGTGCCTGTGCTGCGGACGGATGGGCGGTCGGGCTGGTGGACCTACTGTCATGTGACTACCAAAATTTCTCGGTTGCACAGGTAACCGAATTTTCTTACTCATGGTGCTCCGCTGCGCGTGCTTCGCGCGCGAGAGAGCTCCGCTATGAACACCTATCCGATATGTCACTCTCCACTTTAGAATTAGATCTATCGGCGTTTTTCGCGCCTTATCGCGTTCTTATGTGTGAATAGAAGCCGTATGCGGTTTAGTTTTCGTGCCGGCGGAAAAGCTATCTGATATATTACATGTAAGCGTTGCCTTAATCTCGGTGACATAGCCTTGTTAACATTAGTTGCTCTTTTTGAGAATTCCAGGAGAGTTACTGGAAAATGGTTGAAGAAGAATTTCCACGCTGGATGGCAAGAAATGAATCTAGCAGCAAAAAAGAATACAAGAAAAGCCATTGATGCAGTTTGAAGCTCTTCAGTTTCTGATGACTCTGGTAAGCGAACAGCTTTCCTCAGCGACCTTGAACCTAATCGATTGCATTCCCGCTAAAACTCCTGAAATTGCATTTTCCTGTGGACATCAATCATTTATAGTGACGACGGGATTTACCAACTGGTCGCCTTTTGTGGTAGAAGCTTAATTAGTTATCGAAAAAGGGAAAAACGATTTAAGAGCACAACTGACTACTGCCCCTGGGAGCTCCGAAGATGGATGAGAGGCGACTGTATTCCCAGCCAGGCTAAGAACTCCTGACTATTTGTTATTTCATGTATATATGCACCTAGTGTAGGCTCATGGTAATCTCATCAACACGTCTAAGGTATTGAGCTTACAAAGACTGCTTGCAGTCCGCCTTTTCTCTTAAATCCGTCTAGTTCTTGATCTCATCCAGCGCGATTGCAAACCGCGTACTTAGGTTTTGCGCGTTGTAACTTTGCAAAGAAAAATAAGAGACTGCTCGCAGTCTACTGTTTATGGACATTTGAAGGACTTGAAGTACTGGCATGAACGCTATCAATCGTGGGAACAGTCGGAACACTGTCGTTAGGTTCGTCATTGAAGCTGTCTTATACCTTTCGAAATTTTACTTTATCTGCCTTGGTAGTAGCCTCTCACTTAGACGTTCTTAGGGGTTCGTCACGCGTTCCTGCCCCACGAACGTCTGCTGACTTGAGCGAAAAAAAACCTTTGATGGGCAGGAACGCGCGACGAACCCCTAAGAACGTCTGCGTGGGAGTGTTACCTTGGTAGGGGCTGTAAAATCTTTTTGGCGACATTTTTTGAATGTGTTTTTGGGTGTCCGGGTCGTTTCGCAACAAAGTCGTTTCGTAGCATAATGAAGTCGATTTGCCGCAAAAAATTTTTCGTTTCGCTCCATGCTAGAGTAAATTCCCATCATAATAAAAGTCTCCTCATACCTTGATTTATGTTGGTGATATTTTTTGTTGGAATCCTGTTTCCAAAATCTTCGGTCCGAAATCGCACACTATACTGGTAAGAAACAAACCCAACGGCTACCAACTTTAACTTAAATCATGACCAATAAACACTTATCTAATTATAAATATTACTACCTTATCTACCTATATCAACAAAAATCGCTTGAACCAAAGAAAAATTCGTCCACAATGGTATCCCGGCGAAAAGAAATGGCTAGCGAAAACTGCTCCAAAGTTTGCTGTTCATTTAATTTTCGATGATTAACTCAGCGAAGTGGTAATTAACTCGTTAGTATTATCCATTCGTAGTTAATTTTAAGTGTCTTTTAAACGGTTTTATACAAAATCGAACAAAAAGTCAATTTTCAGCGCCGTCCGGACATGATGCAGCGAAGCTACCTTGCAGCGAATCGACTTCATTTTGCAGCAAAACGACCGGTAAGGGCTCATGGACGCAGGGAGCAGAGTTAACAAAAATGCTGTAAGTTATTATTATTGTTATTTTTTACTTGCTGGGCTCACATGACATGCGAAATGATTTGTAGCATTTGTAACACTGAAATCAAGATGTCTGGTAAACTTTCACAAAAAAGTCCTTCGTCCCGGATTTAATATGGTGCGGGACGAAGGTCGACCTCTTGCGACTTCGTCGCTCCGCTCGCTTAGAAACTCGTGAGGACGACTTTTGGCAAGTCTAGATGTCTGGGAGCAGTTTTCTCCCTAAATTTTAGCTCAGCAGGTAAGGGACCATTCATCGCCAGTAAGGCAAAAAATATGCGCCTCTGATGGGTGGAGGGGTAGTGGAATGAGGAACAATGCCTGGAAATTTAGGAGCGAGGTCCTCTGAAACGTCATTTCCTCATTTTAAGACCTATTTTACTCAAATCGGCCGTTGTTATCTTTAGACAACAATTTAAGACGTTCGATTCCAATAATTTTGCTCTGTCTTCAACGTTCTCTGTTCAAAATGCGTGGCCCATAAAAATAGAAGCTGTGTATACTTTATTACTTTCATTTTCTTGTGAGAATCGGATGGGATCACAGCTTGCGTATTTTTTAAAACAAATTATTTAATTTTCGTAAACCTTCAAGCGGTTGCAGGTGGCAACAAGTGTTACTTCAGGCCGTAAATTTTACCGGTTACCGCCTGATAAGGAGAACACCGTGGGGGTTGTGAATATGTATTTTTTTGCCGTGGAATTTTTTTTTTTTGTCTGTTGGGAGGGTCGCTTTAATCACAGATTACTAAGGATTAGATTGAATTCAGGATTAAGTCTAGAACTACCGCAAAAAGGTGACAGGTAAATAAAGATTAACGTCAAAACCTTGGTCTGTCAGTGGCTTTGATTTAAATTAAGGCCTCTTTAGGCAGATTCACTTTTATTACAAGGTTTCGGCATAAAAAGTAAATTGATTGCTATTGAATACAAAGTGTGATAGAAAAAATCACTTGGTTGAAGGGGGAATGCTTTTAAACTAACCAGCTACCACGCCTCATTATGTTTCTTGGAGCTTTTCATCCAAACTATTTAAAAATCCGTTTTACTCTGAAATAAAAATAATAAACTAGTGGTGACAATTCTCCGAACGCGACTTCAGTAATGGAGAGAACGCGCGATACTTCGGTCATTTTTCTTAACGATTTCGTAGAACAGTTACATTCTTGTTTTTCCCTCATTAATAATTGAGGGAGTGGGATGCTCACTGGCGACTAGGGTTAAAAAAGATACCATATGTAATGTGAAAATAAATGTATAAATAAAATGTTGACCTCACCAGTTTGAAGTAGCATTGTCATTTTTCTTAACGATTTCGTAGAACAGTTACATTCTTGTTTTTCCCTCATTAATAATTGAGGAAGTGGGATGCTCACTAGCGACTAGGGTTAAAAAAAATACTATAAGTAATGTGAAAATAAATATATAAATAAAATGTTGACCTCACCAGTTTGAAGTAGCATTGTGTTAATGCTGTAGCATCTAGTAATAGACTAACAGCAAATTAATTTGAATTCCCAGTTGCCGAACTATGTCTGCCCTGCCCCATCTAAGCCTCTCTGTTCGTGAGATAGCGCCGAGTTTAGTTCTCCTCTGTAGTGGATTTGTTTTGACAACAAAGAAGTGTTGTGCCTCGTTAGCCCCTCCTTTTTTTTCTTTAATAACACCGCCGTATGAAACGGGGTGTTCAGAAAGAAAGAAATAAAAAGGTCAACGTTAACGTTAATCTTGCCGTTGGAAACATTTTCGGACAGTGTTCTAGCTTTTTGGCGCTCGCTACAAACTTAACTCCCGGAAATTTATGGTAAACATGTACAACAAACGAACAAGAAGAAACATATGTAACCTTGATGACGGGCAATACCAGGGTGGGGAAAAAGCAGGCTCCTTTGTTCCCTCTTGGTCCCACCTCAACCGAGGTTAAGGTATCCATACGTCGAGTTAGTATGAAGTTGACGGTCTTGAATAGAAATCGTCCGTTTCAATGGACAAGCCAGACTCTCCATACAAACCAGCTGAACCCTTTAAGCATCTTTGAAAAAAAATATATGTAATTGATATTTTAATATTTATTCATCATCATCATCATTATCATTATTATTATTAAAAATAAATATGTAATAATAAATATTAAAAATATTGGGGTCCTGCTGAAAAATATTCACTCGAATTCACACTTCAAAGAAAAACTCCGAGCCTCGGTTGTTCAAACGTTGGATAGCGTTATAGCGTTTTAAACAACTGGGGCCAGGTATAAAAGCCTAAAAGAATTTTTGTTGATGTTTAAACACGTCAGTTTCAATGGAGCCGTTGTTTGTGTACTTTTTGAAGAACTTTTCATGACGCCCACGGAAAACAACATCGGTAACACCTTTGATAAATTCCTCGACACGTCTTAACTTCGCAGACACATTTCACCAGTGGAATATTAAAAACGCGTTTTTTCCTTCTGGGGTGTAATCTTCATTTCTCTAGGGGTGTGCTGGCTAACTTTCTCAGCGTTCGAAATAAAGCAATGAAACTTTAGCCCCGTTGTAATTTTGTTTTCCCGAGATGCCGAAAAGGACTGATTTGTTTTGAACCAGTCACGGGAAAATGAAACGGAAGTGAGAAGCAAAGGAAGTAAAGTTTTGCCTATTGTTATGAACAATCTGATTGGTTAGAAAACAATAGTAGTAATTGGTTGACCAATGAGAAGACTTGCACGAGCTTCCTCAGATTCCACGTGTCTTCGAGCTCGCAAACCGAAATGATACAAATACTCCAGCATGAGAGTCGAGGCTGTAGAGTCTTGGAAGTTGGCAACGCTTTCACTTTCTAACATGAACAAGGAGGTGAGCTGAGATATTTTAATCTCGATTTTAGAATTCTTGAAGCTTTGGCGAATACAAACCGAGACATTCTCAAGCTGTGTCTGTGAGAAACATCTTGAACTATTGGCATCGGACGTGTTTACAGGTGTGGAGAAGAGAATTTTCCGGATGGAAAAGTTGTTGAGGAAATGAATTCTCCGAATGGCAGAACGCCAACGAAACCATTATCAAAATTTTATTTTCACTGCCGAGTCAGTACGTTAGTAGGTCATATTTATCTAACACTCCAGGTAGTCTTCGGTAGTCTTTTGGCAAGCTAGACTCTTGTACTGCAGTGAAGCAAAATACAGATTTGAAACAATTCAGATTTGAAGGAAACAGTCCCGGCCGTATCGCAGTCGCCGAGGTCGATAGTAAATGCTTAAGTTATTCGAGGAATTTATTTTCCCTCGCTGTCTTTCACAGTCGTCATATTATTTTCTTGTAGAATACCGCGGAAGATAAAGCTTCAGTTTTAACGCGAATCAATGCGTTGTTGGATTCAGCTCTGGATCCCAGTAAGTTGATGTACTGTTGCTGATCAAAGGTTTTTCTCTTACATTCATTTCGTTGCGAGATTATTCAGTCATTTTACGACTTAACGTGTTTTGTTTTGCAGACTCTGCTGGAAGGAGTCTGTTTTCGCCTCAACCAGTGTCGCAGCCGACCTACAGTTCCTTCAGCTATCCAGGGTTCCAACCAACTCCGCCAGACTCCAGATCTCCGAGCCCGATGCACATGGATGAAAGAGCTGGCGATCTTTTTATGGTAATCGAATGCATTTAAAATAGAATTTAGTGGTTTTAACAAGAACTATTTTAGGTTGACTTAAAGCAATTAGTTTTGGCTGCGTTTGTGTGACCTCTGGTCATAGACGGTCAACTTTGTCTTGTAAAGATGTGTTCAATAAGCCAAGTGCTAGAGGAAAATAAACTCAATATTTCGTCTTACTGGATTAGTCTTTTTTCATAGTACGCAAATAGCGTGGAAATCGTGTGGATAAGTTTCCAAACGGAAAAATATTATCTTCTGGCATCTCGCAGACGAGACTGGACTTGCACTGTTTTAGGACGAATGTGGCAAGATTTCCGCATAAGTAAACACTTATCATGTATATTTTTCTACTTACAGCGTATTTAACTTTATTACTTGTCAATGCAACGAAGAATACGGTCTGAGGGCTAGCAACGCATGCCAATCCATGTATATTGTTTGGGTGGTGCATTATTTTTTGCTGGATTATTAATTTTTTTAATATTGTTTACAATGGAAAGAATTTTTAAAATTCAACAAAGATATACAGGCAGTCATGATAGACATGTCTTACAGTAGTTGTGTGACGGTTTGATATTTAATGTTGAAAATTAGCTATTCTAGGAGAGTTTCGTGACAGCAGATTTTTGTGCGAGTATTGATCTTGTTACTTTTGTTGATTTCAGGGTAACTTCTTGGCTGGTGGTGCTCATTTTGGAATGCATACCCCACCAGATAGCCTTCCCTCTTCTCCCATTGGTCCATTTTCCCCCTTTGGTGCATTCCCTTTTTCTCCTATTTCTCCAGTGGATTCTGAATCAAGCATAAGTCCCATTAGACCATCTTACCGTACAGCCTCCATGTTCCCTCGCTGTCAGCCGAGACAGATTGGCCTGCCACCTACCAGTATACCACCGACTGAATTGTCATATGGGAGCTTGTTCACTGATCCTCGCTGGGCTGGTGTAAATCCAATGTTTGGGTTATGGAATGACAATATGGGATTTGAGTACTTGCAGCAGCAAGGACTGACTCACATGTTATCAGGTTAGCGTGTTAACCAAAATGAAATGCAGGAATTCCAGCAGCCCTTTGTGACCCGAATCATGATACTGACTCCCCCCTCCCCATAATAGTATTAAATGACAAGACTCGGACTGCTCTAGTTTAGATTTGTTTATAACTATTAGTGCTATATAATTTATTGTGGCTTAATTTTGTTAATGTTTGTCTATATTCTTGTTCAAAATTACAGGTTATGTTCTCCTGTCATACAAATAAGTGCTAGAATTAATTGTGCTTTTTATGACCAGGTGTAGATTATAGCAAAGGCAATATGAAGAAATGGTCTGGACAGCTTCCTCGTCGTAACTATAAGAACCCAAGCTACTCCACTAAAGTTTTTCTTGGAGGTGTGCCCTGGGATATAACAGAAGGTAATTACTACAATTTATTGCTAAAACATGTGTGGGGAAAAATGTCAGCAACATTTTTGTGAACATGAGACATAAAGATGGTGTGTTTGAGATGATCACTCTTCATTTACAGTAGTTAAAGGGGTGCAGTGTTTTTACTTAGAAGGTATATGAAAACTTGTCAATAGAAAGAATGTGAAAGGGGTACCTTTTCTATAAAAAATGGTTTATAAAAGGGTAAGGGGTCGCACCTCGGGGCAGAGCCTCGCTGCTGTATGAAACCTTGATGTGTGCTCCCCCCATACCAGGTGTCAATCAAAGTAAATTGGAATGCTTGTCTGTCAGAATCGTAGTGGGCTGTGGTCATTCTCATAATTACATGAGAACTGCATTTTTTAGTTCAACCCTTTTGACTGCCATTTCTTTTTGTTCTTGTTTAGCCTCTTTAGTCATGTCATTCAAGCCATTTGGTTCCGTCAAAGTGGAGTGGCCAGGCAAGGCTGATGGCCGTCACCTACATCACCCCCCTAAAGGTAAGGTTTACTGTTATGATTAATCACAACGCTGTGTGTTAATGTACTGAATTTGCCAACTACTGGCCTTACTAGGGTTGTGCATTAAGCAATTGAACATGAAGTGGCATCAAGCAAGTGAACATGAATAGGTATTCACCCAGAAGGAAATCAATTGTCTCAGACAACTGGATTGGACTATTTAAAACCTGATTAAGACTGCCTGTAGTGTGGAGGCCAGGGCATTAATAGTTGTTGAAATGTAGATGTAGTCTTAACAATGCATGACGGGAAAGATGTAAATATTATTTTTCATGTCACCATCCTGAGATAAAGATAATTTGAACATGGATTCCATTTAGCTGCAGAGGAACTTGAGGCTACTGAGCTCTACCCTACAGCTATTAAGTGTTGAATAAAGCTTGATCTGTGGAGGTGTGTTTGGCTGTGTGGTTAGCACTTTGACCTCCAGATATGGAGGTCGAGGGTTCAAGCCTCGCCTGTAACATTGTTTTCTTAGACAAGGAACTTACTGCACTTTGTCTCTCTTCACTCATGTATATAAATGGGTACTGGGAACATACTGCTGGCGGCTAACATCTATCCTGTGGGGAGTAGCAGTACTCCTATAGGCATACTTCATGCAAAGGAAACTGGGATAAGCTCTGGTTGTTTGGTCATTTGGCTCATGTGCGCCTTTTAAAATGCTTGATCAAATTTTGTAAAGTGAAGCTTTCACATGTATGTATTACAATAATAATTTAAAAAAGTAATGTTGTTTAATTCTCTTTGATTTTTTTTCAGGATATGTGTACTTGATCTTTGATTCTGAGAAGTCAGTTAAAGCCTTATTAGCCTCCTGCACTCATGACTTCTGTAATGGTGGAGACTGGTACTTCAAGATTTCAAGTAGAAGGATGAGATGCAAGGAGGTAAATAAATATTTTAGGAACTAAATTTGTTTCCAAATACAAAAACCCAATTCCTAATTGTTTGTTACAACAACAAATTCTGCTTATGTTTTAGCTGAAAATAAGCTCATGGGTGGATGTTTTTTTTACAGGTTATCTAGCTAAAGCTGTTCATCAAAATGACCTCTGTGAAACATAAGATTATGCTACTCGCAAAATGACATTTTTTACTTTTTTCACATGTGTGACCATACGTTAATTTTCCGGAATATTGTAGTATTGTAATATTATGCTGATAAAATATTTCCACCTGAAGTAGACAATAACTTGTGAAGGTGGATTTCTTTGCTGTCTTCTAAATGAAAACTGGTTTTTGGTTTTCTGTAGGTTCAAGTGATTCCTTGGGTTTTGTCTGACACCAACTATGTCCGTGGCCCGCATCAGAGATTGGACACCAGTTGGACTGTGTTTGTCGGTGGACTGCATGGCATGCTTAATGCAGGTGGGACAATAATTATTTAACAATATTATATAGATTCAGCCAAGGCCAAAAGCAAAGCTCTTGAGGAATGCTTTAAGAAATGGCCTTCTCTAGTAACTCAACTTTTGCCATAAGCAGAAAGCAAACTGAATTCCACCTGTAAAAAATGGACCTGTGATCAATTGAAAACCAAAAACTGGTCAGCAGATGACTTTTAAAAAATGCGTCACCTCCATGAGTTGTAGACCTGAGCCTGCAATACGGTCATTTGACACTGGTCAGCAGATACCTTTTTTGACAGTTGTCAATTGACCTTAACATGGATGTCCCATACCAAGTTAAACACTGATAGTATATTCCTTAGACTCGTCAGTTTACATGTTGTGTACGGACGGTCAGTCGCCGGTTGTGCACTGATGTCACAGCCAAAACTTCTTGGATGGATAGATTACCAAATTTCTTAGCAATGGATGCTTGGAGCTCTGCTATTAATTAATTATAAATACTACTTTGTTGCCAGTGTTTAGACGTGTCACCCCCTTCTAAGTTATAGGGATTTTCTATAGATCAGATGATGGCAACGGCAATGAGAACGTCAAATAAGCTAAACAACAACTCTGCACTATCAAGCTTTTTTGTACATTTCTCCTGTTTTCTCTGACAAATAGACTAATGGTAATCTTTCTTCCTGCATGGCATTTCTTTACATACCCTTTCCTTGTTTTTTTTCCACACATTTTAGTGGCTCTGTGAGAGGTAGTGTATGGCATGGAAGGGCTGAAACCCTCTTGTATGGGTGATTAACACCTTTTTATAGAATACCTTACTAACTACTGTTTTCATTTCTATTGTGCAGAGGGCCTGGCATATATCATGAATGAACTGTTTGGTGGGGTAGTCTATGCTGGTATTGACACAGATAAACATCGCTATCCCATTGGTAAGATTCTTGTTATTGTACATTTTACTCACTATGTGTCTTCTCGCTGGCTACAAGCCTACAGTTAATTTTGCGTGGTTTTCTAGAGCAGTGTCAAACTGTGTTCCACTCGATGGTGTGTTTGTCGTTATTTTCTTCAAAATAATAATTTATAACATTTAACAACTGCGTCGCTGAGTGGAGGTGGGTGCCTGGGATGTCCAGGCGCTTCCACCTTTGGCACGGCCAGCCCCTAGACAGAGTTACGCCCCCATGGCTGGCAAACCCGTGCCCTCCAGCCATGAGGCCCCCACGCCAATGGAACCAGGCACCCGTCACACTGATTTAACAGTGGAAGAATTAAAGGGGGGGAGGAATGGGGGTAAAAGAATAATCCAAAGGCTAAACGAAGAGAATGGCCACCACGAAAACACTGTACTGAGCACATGGAGGTAATGCAAGCAAGGCTGACCGCGCTTGAGCCAAACGACTGACCGCTGACCACGCTCGCGCTCCTTGTTGTTAACTCTGTTAAATAAATATTTATTTAACCTCATTAAAACAGTTATTAGGTTCAGTTTGTGTGATATCCAGAATAATCAACTTTGCAATTCTTTTTAACTGTTACCATCCTTGACATTCATTATTCTTGCTATCAAAACAACCTCATCCCATAATTGTTTATTAAATGCCTCAATTATTATAGGGTACTGGGGAAGCCTGATTTTCAAATTTAACAGTCTCATTTTTTCCTCATCAGGTTCTGGCCGCATTACATTTAACAATCAGAAGAGTTTCCTGGAAGCTGTAAGATCGGGTTTCATAGAGATTGAGACCCCAAAATTTGTGAAGAAGGCAAGTGCTGCTATCTGATGTTAAATGTATGCTTTCGACAAATTAGGCATCACCAATTTACAAATTTTTCTTTTCACCTTAGAGTCAGCTCAGAGTGCAAAGAAAGTAGTGTAGTGTCTGATAGCCCGGGGCTAGTGGATTTTGCTATCAGGCTAGTGAATTCTGTTGTTAACTTGCCCAACGGGCAAGTGAAGTTTTTTGACAAATTCAAATTTAATATAGCCTGCGTAGCTGGCGGTATTGTGTGGGTGCCAGATTAAAGTTTTGGCGGCAGAGCCGTGTTCCAAAAAAAGGGAGTAGGGACGAGGCGGTTGAAATACCTCGCGGCTTCGCCGCTCTTGACGGCTCCGCCGTCAAATCTCACTCAAATATATTACAACGGCTCCGCTGCCAAATCTCACTCGACTACTACACAATACCGCCAGCTACGCAGGCTAATTTAATACAGAAGTAATGTGAAATCAATATGCTCATCAAAACGTTTTTGGTGCTAGTTGAAATGATGTTTGGGCGAGTAAATGTTAGCTTCAGCTTGCCCGAATGGCAAGCTGTAAAAGTGACGTTCTTTGCACCCTGCAGCTGTAGATCATTTTTACCTCCTTACAGGACGAAATAAAGCATTAAGTCAACAATTCTTTCTCAACATGTTCTTTCGTCCTTAGTAGTCTAACAGCTTGGCAGAACCAACAGGTCCTTGATAACAGCCCTATTGAGGTTGCCGGAGTAAAGCAGTCCATATTATTGTACTTATTTCCCCAAAATGGTTAAACCTGCAGGTCCAAGTTGACCCATATTTAGAGGACTCTATGTGTGACATTTGTCGTACTACCACGGGCCCCTTCTTCTGTCGAGAGGAATCCTGTTTCAAGTACTACTGTCATTCATGTTGGTTATGGCATCACTCTATTGAAGGATATCGTCAGCACAGGTAAAACAAAAATGCTGAAATTGTGGATTTCCATTTTTGAATCACCAAACAGACCACAATTCCCCATGAATTTTCTGCTCTCGTACAGGAACCATGTTTAGTTTCCCCCTAGATGGTCAAAATGCATCCTATCTTGTGCCATGTGGCACAAGCTCCTTACTATAAGTGTCACCCTTTTAGCCAAGCCAGCTTTTTGTTTCTCATGTAAACAGTTTTTTGCCACGTTTTGTAAGGAAATGTATGGAAAGTTGGCTCGCCCATCAGGGCAGCTTGGGTAGGAGAGTGACCCTTCCACTATACCCGGGACGGGGCGTTAGCTACCCTAAAACCCCTTACAAAATCTACCAGTCCAGGGCTTGAAATTTAGTCTAATCTGCTTGTTTTGTTTTACTATTTCAGACCACTGACTCGTACAAGTAAGAGCAGCAGTGCTTAAAAAGAAGCAGTGAAAGAGGGACAAGCATCATTGGTGATGGACCAGAACGGCAAGGTTTTATGCTGTTTACGCTGGTGTTTGGTACCGTTTGGTGCAGTTGCAGGGAAAAAAAATAGTTTGCAACAATTTGTAGTGTTGTTTGAAGTTTTCATCTTTATATTTAAAGTTTTTGAATATGTTCACATTTTGAGGTATTGAATTATGTTTCGCCATGCCATAGTGTTACGGCTGCTAGTGAACCTCATAAATTTATTGGTGGTTATACTGCTGTTGGCTGTGGGTGTGATGGTTGTGAGACTGTGTTTTTCGTTTTTTCACAAATGTTTTAAGCTGTAAATAGATAGGCCTGCTTTTCGAGGAGATTACTCTCCATGTGTTGAGATAACCCACATCAAATGGGGGATTGTACATGATGACATTGCTAAGGTAAGAGAATGGCAATTGTGACTGTATCCACAGCACGAATGAAACCCGAGCGCAGTGTTACAATTCACTCTGATTTTACACAAACGTGGGAAAAATATTGAGGTCAGGTAAAAATCCTATCCATGGCTGGTAGAATACCCTGCCGTCATAATTGGTTCAAGCTTGGGTAAGATTATCATGTACAATTACCTATGAAAAAAAATTGAATAAATCAACTCTCTTGTGTACAAGATGAAATTATTTATCGATGGTTGGCTTTATACTAAAGTACACAAACGAAAGTGAATGGTTTAGAATGTGGTAAAGGATTTTTCACCACCAGTCTATTTCATTGTCCTAAAATGAAAATCGCTTATAGAAGAACAAAAAAATCTCTTGCAGTTTACTTTTCATGGGAAAATTATAGCATTCAGTTCATTGCAACCAGTTAAGATCTTCACAAGGCGATTTCTTCTTTGATAATTAAGCAATTTTCTTTTCCAAAAATTTCATTGTATGGCCATACTTCTTTGGAGTTTATTGAGCTATTTTTATACGTTTTGTTAATGCATTTTGTCGCGGATTTTTGTTTTAGAATGTTTTTGCGCGCTTTGTTTCAGGGTAATCTTTGTTTTGACAGTTTAATGGCACGTGGTTTCGTTATTTTGAACTATTTTACTTTTCTATTTAGTTTTAATTCGCGAAGTGTTTTTGCATTGGTAATGTTAATAGTGCAATTCTGATGTGATTCCGTGAAAGCTCTGTCACTTTCTGGACTTCCACTTTATCTCGTTCAAATCTTGTTGCTCTTGAAGGCGGGCTGGGCCTGGCTTGGTTAGGAGCAAACTCTTTCAAAAAAACGCCTTTGTCGTCCGCAGCAATAGTGATGTTCTATTAATTTAACATCAGGTTGTCGTCTAGCCTTCGTTTTCCAGATCATTAATTTAAGAAGGTTTTTTTTCAAACCAGTTTTATTGTCTTCAGGTACAAAGAAACATGATTAATAATCTTAATTCTGTTCAGCTAGTAAACTGTATTTACAGATTATTTTCTTGGAGGCAAAGGGTTATGAACTTGTTATCGTCGTCAGGATTTTTCCTCCGAGCATTTTTAACAGCATTCTAATTTATTGCGCTTTCTGATTGCACAGTATTTCTGTACATAGTCCGCTTAAGTGTTTTTCGGATTTTTTTCAATTTTTCATTTGCAGTTAATACTTTATTCGGACTTGATATAACTTCTTTTAACTATAATTGTACAAAAAAAGGACGAAAAAAAAAGCCCGTTTTAGCTTTGGCGACCAAACAACATGTCGATGATGAACAAGGCCTGACTTTGTTCTAGTTTAGGTAGATAATTGTGGTTGCCCTTATTTAGAAACGCTGCATGTTGAGTAAAGACTGATAAAATAGTTTTTAACCTAAAAAACAAACAGAAAAAAAATATATGTGTGCGACATATTTATTTTTGTAGCTGATAATATACGATGGGGTAGATTTTATTGTTGGCAAAATAGGCCAGTAGACGTAGGAGTATTTATAAAGTGCACTTCAGTAATTTTTGTAAAAAAATCTCAGTAAGTTATTATTTTGTGCATGTTACTGTTTTGCGAGAAACTTTAGCGTGCTTTTAATAAAACCTTTGTGGCCGCTACGTGCCTGTTAAGCCAGACGACACGCCGGTGTCTGTGTGTAAAGCGTTTCATAAAGTTTGACCCAAAGATATGGAAATTAAGTTGGTGTTGTCAGAATAAAATGACAGCTTGTTATATTTTTAATCTTGTCTGTGTGAACTTTTTGTATTACAAATATGAGTGATTTATGCCGTTTATATCCTACACAAAAGCTCGCCATTTTGAATGGCAAGCGGAGCGAGGCGGAGAGTACGCGCGAGGGAAGGAGCGGTAACTAACCGCTCGCCCGCGAGTTTTCTCCTCCCCCTTAACTTCCGCTAAAAAAAGACTTATTAAGCGAGTAAATAAAATAGAGGCAATGTATGAAACTGCACGTGTAAGCGTAAAAGTTAAACGGTACGCGTGTTGCTAACTTACGCTGAATCACTTAAAGTGGCCTTTTTGTATGCGTATCTTTATCACCAGTTCCGTCCTAATTGTGATGTCTCGATGTAAATTCCATAAAATCTTTCTTCTACCTTTCATGTACAGTCCGTTTTGAAAAGCCCAAGGAATGCAGTTGGTGCGCAACGCAAAAACTAGTACGGTGACCCCCATTTTTATTTCATGATTGCTATAAGGACAGTGATTCCTTAAAATAAGATAGAAAATAAAATATTTAAGCAAAAATCTATGTTCAGTTTTTTGACAATTTTACCAATAAATGACTTGTAAATTCTACGGATTGAGCTATAGCGACAAGAATATAGGTCAACTCTGGAAAGTAAAAAAAAACTCTCAAAGGTATTCAAAAGCATTGAATTTTCGGGTGGGTGGGTGGACAAACAACAGAATTAAGTCAAACGTCTGTGCGGTATCACCCACGTGGTCGAAAAAAACCTGCGAATTTGTCTATAGCTAGTTTTGGGCTACGCGCGGTTTTTGCCAACGTCCCAATTGAATAGTCCTATTCGTCAGCATTGTACCGTGAAAAGAAGGACAGTGACCCCAATTTGGTATTAAGTTTTTATCATCATCTTGACCCGTTACATCAGTGGACTAAGTTTTCACAAATCTGTGTTGGGTTCTTTTACTAGGGAATTCTAAAATATTCAATGTTTATCACTGCCCCTCCTCCTCCCCACAACCCCTTGGACGAGATTTGTTTCTTCGGTGTCCAGACCGGGAAATTTCCAGGCTCCAAAATAATCGGGTCCGCGGAATTGAAGAAAGCACCGCTCATATTTCAGCGTGCCCTTCACTTACGCGTCATCCCTACTATCAGCTGAGAGCCCGAAACAGGCAACTTTGCAAAAGGATTAATTGCAGTCATAGTCTCTTGAAATAAATAAAAATAGCACAGCTCCAAGCCCCAACAACAAACGCCAAAATATAAAAGGTTTCAAGCCGATTTAGATGTGCAACCGTGTCACCCCTTAGTTTCTCCGATATTTTGCCAGAAAGTGCTCCGTTTTGCAGGTGGAACTACACAAAAAAGCGTGATGAAATACCAATTCAGAAAAGCAGTCTCAAAATTCAAATTACGTATTGTGTTTAGCAAAACGTTGTGCTATGAGATCGCGTAAATCACAACTTTACCGGCAGACCTTTAAAGGCAGTTACAACCAAGATCAATTTTAAGGTGTCAAATCTCTGAAAAGAGGTTTTCTCTTTTATGTGTGGTCTGACTCTGTCACCCCCTGCAGTCCGACCCCAAATGGGGAACAAGAGAAGACATTAGCACAGAAATATTTCCCCGGGGGCTGGAACATTAACTCGCATGCCCAGGTTGTGGGAGGGTGCGCAGATTGACTGTGGTTGGTGCATTAGGCCCTGGTTGTTCAAACGTTGGATAGCGCTATATACCGGGTAAAAAGCCTTTGGATATTAAACGCAATTGGTTTCCCCACTACTTATCCGCTGGATGGTGATTTATCCGGTGGATAGTACTATTCAACGTTTTGGGGAATTTTCTTACCCGTGCAACTGGGAATGCCGTCACAATCATTCCCAGTCTCATCTTTAAATGGTGCGGTTTTGTACCCCACCAGAAGTGAAATTTCACGTTTTTGGTACGTAAAAACATGGGAAAGAAGTACGATGTCAAAATTGATTTTATTTTTATCGGGGGCCTGTGCAGATTTAGACTACGAGTAGTTCGCATTTTTCCTCAGGGATTGTAGAGCGAGCAAAACGCGAGCGCGCGTGAAAATCACCCCACGCGATATAAAGGCGAGATGCGGAGGGAAGACAGAAAAAATGAACACCGCCGCGTCTCGCCTTTCTCGCGTGGGGTGATTTCCATGCGCGCTGGCCTTTTCGCTCTCTATACAATCCCTGAGGAAAAATGGGGACTACTCGTAGTCTAGTGCAGATTCTATTCAGCAGAAAACAAATTCAAGTAAAATGCAAGTAATGCAATTAAACAATAGGAAAAGTGGGATATAAAATTGCTTTTGTCAATCAATTGAAATCACTCTGACAACAGTTGCAGTTTATAACTATAAAACAAAACCAAAAACTTGATACACAGAACTTTCCAGGTTTGTTTTAATTTAAGATAAAATGTTGTATCACAACATGATTGAAAAAAAAAAAACTACAAGGAAAAATGCTTTATTTAACAATAAATTTTACCCCTGAAACGTTTCTATTATTTCCATTTACAAGTATTTCAGAGAAGTGAAAGAAAATCTAACAAAATATAAAATAGGTGTTTTTTAAGCAATATTTAGAATTAGGTATAAAGAAAATTACAATGTATAGTGGACACTCCTCTGATAAATCACTGCGTTAGGAATATGAGGCAGAAAATCACAACCTAAGTAGGATTTGTCACCTGATCACTACTGAAACTGAAGACTGAAGGGATTAGAGGTTTTTCTTTGGGAAAGAGAGAGCGAAGAAAAATTTCTAGAAAAACCTCTGGGACCAAGGTAGACTTTCACTTTAGTGAAAATTAGCTCACCCAGGGACCTGCACTTCTTTAGCAATGGAAATGAGAAATATTTACAGTTCACAATGCAAATCCAAAATGAAACTCACTCTGGTTAAGCTGATTAGCAAAACAGCACCAAAATCCTTGTTGTGGACCCCATCTGTGTAAGAGGATTTGTGTATGTGCTATTGTCTATTTGCAAATTAGGACGGAAGGAAATTCAAAACAAACTTCTCCTAATTCGGTGGGTCCATTATGGTCCCAAAAGAAGGATCTCAGTGCCACTTTGCAGATGCTACTGAGGTTGGTTCTGTGACACAGACTATGAATTGAAGACTCAATGTGTAGTTCAAAAACATCTCCATAATGCCCCCACAAAAAGACGTTAGAAGTTTGAGGAGGAGGAGGGGTATAAAAGACTAAATACAAAAAAAAATAAAGGGAAATAATGTATGAAGCTTAGTTAAATTACTAAAGGGGTGGGTGGGGGGGCTTAGAAAAAAATCCCTTTCATGGGAAAGATATAATGTATGGATATTTTCTGGAACTACACAAAGTAAATCCATTTCATGAAATACAAATAGCAGGGTTTATTCTTGAAATTGGCCAATGTGGGTCAAATGGGCCTCCTTCTGTAATTTTAGGGTGTCCTTTTTCAAGAAAGGGGGTCCCCCAAAAAGTAATTAAACTTACAGATGGACTCGCCAGATGCTTTGCTGCCATTTTGGAACATTCTGGGGAACTGAAAAAGCCTGGGCTTGAATTACTGCAAAATACCAGATGTTTGTCTGGTGAAATAATGACTCAAACGAAGAAGAGAAAGGCAATTGAGACAGTAAAAGGCTATAAAAGTTCAAAGTAAGTTTACAGAGCCGCCGTCAAATCAGTGTTGTTGCCAGTGATGTTTTCGAATTCTTTATTTCAAAAAAGAGTGCTTATCCTTTGGCCTATTTTTTGGGGGGGCCTTACTTGACACGGCTAAGTAAATTTTATGTGGCATTTTTTTTCCACATTATGGAAATCCTCCAAGGCCACGCTCTAGAATAAACCCTGAAATAAGTAATTATTATTATAACATGGTTAACATAATTTGTTTATCAAAAGACTGATATTTGTGAGTCATATGCTTAAATAATGCATCTCCTTATTTGCAACATTTTAATATTAAAAATAATAAGCTTCTAAAACTAAATATCATTTGATATGAGACATAAGTCTTCACACATTTGATAATCAACTGATGCCAAGTGTAAAGAAATGATCAAGAAGAGACTAAATAAGTTAGAGTAAAACATATTGAAAGATAATAACAAGCCGTCGCCTAAATGTCTTCTGTTCTCCTTGAGAACAACTGCTCCTTTGTACTACAGTTCAGCTTCCAGTAACTAATATTTCACTTTACAAACATGTAATATCCAATTGGTCTTTTTGTCCAAAAGTATACACTGTCCAGAATTTGATCCTTCAGTATACAACAAAGAAATATCTGTGCAGTCTAAAATGTCCTCTCTTGTTTTTACAGGTATTCTATTTGCTTCAAAGTTTCATAGTTTTTTCTGTCCTTTCTTTCTTTATTCATCATCTGCATGCTGCATATACTCATCAAGCTCGGCATCAAGATGACTCTTTGTTTTTGACATATACTTATCAAGCTCTTCGTCTAACTTGTCTTTTGAGACTGGTTTGTCACCTTTGCCTCGACCCCGTCCACGCCCCCTTGTTGCCCCTCTACCACCACGCACACCACGCCCACCACGAGCGATTCCCCTCGCACCTTGCACACCACGTCCACCACGAACAGCTCCACCTCTTCCCCTTCTAACACCACCAAAACCACGGACATTACTTTGCCCTCTTCCCTGACGAAATCTACCACCACCACCCGGACTTCTCAGTGGACCAGCACTACCGGTGCCGAGCCGATTTTTCAACAATCCTCCACTTTTAGCACCTCCTCCTCTTCCTCCGCCTCTGTTTGGTGAGCCAAGTCTGCTTTTAAGGCTGGGAGAGTTTCCTCCAAGGGCAGCTTGGATATCCGGTCTGTTGGCCATCTGAGCTGCAAGGCGGCGATTCTTCATGCTGGCTTGGGATATCTGGAACTGGTTGCTTCTAACTCCTGTGATCGTCACTTGTGGTGGAGATCGGACTTGCTTTTTGGCCAGGTCAGTAAAGCTTCAGAAGATGGATGGAAGGGAGGAATTTGTACCTTGAATTATTTACTGGCTTCAATGCTATTGCATACTTCACTGAAAGGCATGCACCTTCAACCATAAATAATTCTAACCAGCTCTTACATGTAAGCCTTGTCTACTATGAAGGCAATATATAATACCTTGACTAGCCAAAACATTCTATTGCCTTCTTGCTCTTATAGAGCGCTTATAACTGTAATATTCACGCCATAACAAGATGGCAAGCATGAAGCCAGATAAAGGTACAACAATGCCATGTCCATTTAAGTAGGTGCATGGCGGATTGCTCACCGATCATTCAGCGTCTTGGTAGTTGTGCTCTTGAGGACTATTTTAGCTGGTGCATGAGACATCTTTATTTCTTTAGCACTTAATTTCCTGCAACTTTTTCAACAATAAAGTTAGTAAAACAAGACAGTTATGCATCTATCAATGTTAATCTGGATGTGAGGGAGGCCAGGCAAAGCGCAGGGATTTGACAAAGGAAGTCACCCATGGTGGGAACTTTTCATTAGCACCAAGTTCCGGGAGTGGGGACTTTTGAATTTCCCCCAATAACAAATGCCATCGTGGATTGAAAGCTGTAAAAGACCTTGCTACTAGTTGGTTACCAGTTGCATTACCAGGGGGAATTGGTAGCCAAAAGTGGTGGCCATTGTTCCCACAGGGATCTGTGGGTAACAAAATCACTGCTTTCAATGAAACATGTTTAACATCTAGTCATTGATGGAGAAGTGGAGATTTTGTTCCCTTTTGACCAAATATGATGTCCCTGGGGTACGGCATTTGACCAGAAAAATGCAAGCTTCAAGTTCAAATTTCCAGCCTTTGCCTAGCCTCCCCCACCTCCACATGTAACATTGATAGGTGCATTAGTAAACAAGAAGTTAATGCATGTACTGAATTTTTCGTCACAAGCGGAGAGACAAGTTAGTGATGTCACCTCAGAGGGAGTTGTTTGTATACAAAACCTGCTTTAGGCCTACGTTAGAGCTAAACTGAACTGAATTGGATCGGTACAATAACGACTCGTAATAAGCTTACATTTATTCTCCTTAACACTTTCCATGCAATTGACAAATCAACAAAACGTCAAAGCACAACTTCCACGAATTCTTGGCAGTGGCAACCAGTAATGGGGGTTAAAGTTTGGACGAAAATCACCTAACTGATGAAAACATATCTTTATTCAAATGAAACGGGAATCCTATCAGTTTGATAGTAGAGAGCAAAGAAAAAAAGAAAAAGAAAACAGAATCGACAACCGTCTCTGACAGCTACATGAACACTTGGTGTAAACTAAACTATGTCATAAATAATACTAACATAACACCAAAAGTGTACCAATAAGTAAAGAATAAGGGTAATAGTTACGTCTGAGTTTTGATTCCGCGGTCAAAAGCCTTGATGGAATTGGATTTTGCTTGAACACTGCTAGGTTACAGACTGTATGCCTACTTCGAAGAAGCACGGAGACGACGCTTACACGGGCCGAAAGAAGACTGGTTTCGACATTCTTAAGTTATTCCTTCATGTAAGCCTAACTAAAATTTAACTGAAATCAAATACTTTCAAACTTTGCTTTTTTTTTTAATGGCACAGCCCACGTTTCAGAAATGGCCGATGAGAGTGAAGTTGTGGCTGAAATGGCACAGAAAGCCTTTGCTTCATCTTCCAACTACGAGAATGTTCGTGCCAATTATTCTCGCGAGGCAGTAGAGTTCTTTTTGCGCAAACTTGGTGTGAACTGGGACAACCATGACAAAGCTGCAGAGAACCAAACAGATCGCCCTTTTACTATCTTAGAGGTCGGTTGTGGCACGGGAAAATTTACTCGCGTCATGTTAGAAGTGTTGAAAGATAAGAACGTGAGAGTGATTGCAAGTGAGCCACTGCGAAGCATGCGTGAGCAGTTAAAACTTATGGTGCCTGATACGGAAATTATCCAATGCCCAGCTGAGAATATACGTAAGCTGCTTAAAACTCTATGTTATGTGCACAAAAACGATATCTTACATGTCATTTCATCTCTTTCGAATTGCTTGCCACCTTCTCCACTTTTCTGATACTAAAGCCTTTGCAGGGCCTCCAAGGCCTCTGCTAGCAGGGAATTGCAGGGCTTTTGCTAATGTGTATTATTAAAATTGTATC